AGAGGGGGTCGTGGCTATGGCATCAGAAGAAAAAGACAAAAGGCTGCTACAATGTGCAATTGTGCATCGAGTGGTTTGACTTTGAGGTCCACTTAACATACCCACGTTGATGTGTTTAGTATTTTGCATTGGAAAGGGTAATAAGCATTAAACCTTACCTTAACTTGATCATCATTTATTCAATGTGGACACTACATGTGGCATATATTCTAATACCCCTATGTACCCTATCCCTGTCCCTCCCACTCTATCTTCATCAATTACTTCTATGATCATCATTGGTAATTATTCCCTGGTTTTTTTGCATGGAAATGCAGAGAGAGTACATCTTCTCCTTATTTGCATGGAAATGAATAGCAAATGGCCTCGTTTGATTTGCTAACATCCAATAAGTTTCTAGAGTTCTGTTAGTTAGACTCGTGTTCCATTGCACAGGTTGAATCCGTTTCATCTATTTTATTTTCAGTTTTGTATAACTGTTAAAAAAATCAAGTATAAAAATATAATATTTAATGTTAAGATATTGTACATTATTTTTTATTATTTATTTATATACACATTAAAAATATACTTTAATACAAGGTGTCTCTTCTAGTAGTTTGAAAACAATTTTCCTAATGTTATCAAGGTAATAATTAAGAAACTTAAATAAAATTTATTATTAGTAAATTCTCACTGTAATTCTTAATTATATTTTAATATAAAATATTATAATTTCTTAATAAGTACTTTTAAGGCATTCATCAGCAAAATCCTTAGAAGATATTGCTATAAGAATTTTTTAAGAAAATTTGAACATTATTTTTAGTACAGCATAGACAAATTTACAATTTAAATAATTAGGCTAATTTGATTTGAAGAATTTCTCCTCGTGATTCATCTTCACAGATCATTTGGTGGGCATGACTCATGCGGACTGATAGGTGGGTAGAATGGTTCATATGCCAAAGCCTAATTTCAAGGAGTTCCCTGTTTAATTACCTGAATTGGTGCAGTGAGAACATAACGTGGCTTGCGTTGTTTTTTGTAGCCAGTCATTGGTCAATTTTGTCTTCAAGTTAAATTTGAATGTGTTCATGTAACAAAGTAAAAAAAAAAAGACTTTTACTAGCTAATTTTGGTGTCAACGAAAAAGCCTTGCATTAGATAAAATGATTAAAGTTTGATTTTCTGATTGAGACATTACAAGGACATAAAATGCATGTATTCTAAAGTTTCTTTTTCTTGAAGACATTGCAATGCCTTTAAGGGCTATTGTGTTACGAATTATTTTGTTTATATCCTTTTTCGGAAAAAGAGTAAAGATTTAATGCTATCAATAGCTTCTCTTTTGAATGATATAGAACAACCACTTTTTTGACTGCATTTGTTTTCTGAACTTCTCTGTTTCTAACAGAATTACATAAGACAATTAAAAGCTTCTTTAGATTATGGAAAGTTTAGGTGGGGACCATATGTTTTTTTCATTCTTGTTATTCAACAAATTAAAAACTTTATGAAAGAAAACGTGATTATAGAAAGGGTTCTCAGATGGATTACTTTTTCATCCTTTTGCTTTCAACTTAATTTGTACCCCCTGTGGTCAAACAAATTAATCACTCCAATTCAAGGAACAATGTGCAATCAATTGACAGCATGTGCCTTGGATCGCTTTCTCAAGAGAACATTTGAAAATTTAGAACATTCCATGCATACGCACATTTTTGGATCAAAATATGACCCGCGAAAACTAAGTTTAAGGCTGCGGTTCCATATCCCATTACCGAGTATATTGTGTCCACTTCCTTTATTTGTAATCTTTCAAGAACTGAGAGGCATTTCAAGTGGAGGACTTGGTAGTTTCTTTTCTTAAAGGTTTGGACTAACTTTATATATCTTGATTTGCAACGATATATATAAAATGTTAAGCTAGCTTTATAAGTTCTTCAAAACACCTTCATAGTGCATAATTTTTAAGCTGCAATATTTGTTTCAAAAGGAGGCATGAAAATGTATAATGTTGACAGAAGAAGCTGCAAAAATTTGTTACAAAATATATTGAACATTTAGAACTGAAATCATTTTTGTTTTGGGGGGTAAGCCACGCTGAACCGAAATTGAATAATGCAAGGATTTCCATTCCAAATGACTAATTAGCCCTTCAAGAATCATAAATCTGCAGCTCAACATGACATTGATCGGAATAAAAATATAATATAAGATGCAACGAATCTGTCATAAAGGGCCAAAATGGCAAACGAAGAAGGAAGAAAAGGATCTTCATATATATATTTTGACTTTAGCCACATACACAAAAACGTGTAAAGAGAAAACATATATTCATGATAAAAAGCAATCATTCCGGAAAAAAGACAAAGGCAAAGGTGGTAATTAACATTTAAACATGAATCGCAACTGATATGGCTTCCATAAAGACTATTTGTCACATATTTTTGAGACAATGTAACACTTCTAACTGACATTCTAAGCATAGCTGTTTCCGGAACTTTTATTTAATTCTTAAAATTTTCTATAGCTTTCTTATAATAATATAAACACATTTGATGTTTCTTGCGAATAATTTTTCTCAATTTTCAACTCTTAAACTAATTGCTCTCTAATTGGCAAGCTCAATAGTACGATCACGGTTGGTGGAAAGAAGTTAATCAATTAGATAGAGTAGTATACACTTGCGAAGTTAATGGATGGTGTCAATTATGGCATTATATACTATATTAGAATGGATCAAGATGCATTAGTTCTATTTTTTTAAATGTTGAATGGATATAGTCATTAAGGCAAGCATGCAAGCATTATGATATCAAAGCATAGCTTGTCCATGCTAGACATGATAGTGAATAAACAAGTTGGGTGCATCGATTAGCGGAAAGAAAGCTTAATTTGGATCTCTGGTTGTTTATAATTTGTTTTTTGCTTGGTTTGGCTTGGCTTGCAAGACAGATTTCCAAAGGTGTATGATGCTAGGAAGTTGGCTAGGATGTACTTGTCTCTAACATGCACTCTCTAATCATTACATTTAATCTATTTATTCAAATCTTACGGCTGTGGCCACTTTGATTTGCACAAATTTGCATGATATGCACTCATAGGAACTCGGAATTAGGTGTGCTTCAATTGAGTTGGTATATAAACGAATAAGAACTTGCCTTGTCTTGGGGCAATTGTCAAAAAGATAAAAATATTAAATAAAATAGTTAAATTCTTGATGTATCAATTATTTTATTCTTTTAAAAGTATTATTATTATTGTTTTTAAACAGCACTTTCGTGCTCACATTGACAAAATCCAAACCACTTAGTATGACAATGACATAAATTAATCAGTAGAATAATTGAAAAGTTTGATGAAAAAATGAAAAAGGAAGAAGAAGTGATGGTAAAAAACACCACACATCGAATGGACTTGTTGACCGTTTAACAGAAACTAAAGATATTTTTAAGGACTTCTTTTCTCCTTCTTTGAAAAATCAAGTTTTATAGTGAGTCTAGGAGTTACTATTTTTTTCAAAATTTATTTTAATTCTCTTAAGATGTGGACAAAAACAAACAAGATTATGTCTCAAAACCAAGTTGAACTAATAGTTTAGGTTTAGTAAATGAGTTGAGAATATTCTTTGTGTCTTCCATTATATTTGAAGTAATGTTGGTCAAAAAATATGCTGATTTCCATGAATTGGTGATTTCAGCGTTTGTTGCTCACCGAACTTCTTGTCTCAAATATTCTTTGGGACCCCATTAGCTATTTGACTATTACTGAAATTTGTATCATATGTGACATTTTTTTGGACCTACCACATGCAGTTGAGTATGGCCAAACAATGGCCCTTTTGACCCATGTACTACCCCACCACCCCCCCCAAAAAATGCCCAAGCACGTATAAAGAAGGCGACAATAAGAATTAAGAAATCATCTAAGGAATGTTGATCAGAAAAGAATCTTCTCATGTACATGATAGGTCATGTTGAAATCTTGCATTTATCTTTCTTCTAATAAAATATTAAATAGGCATCACCTATTTAATGTCTATCAAAAGAGAGACATACAAAAATTTATTTGGCTTAAAATTAATATGAGGGGATATATTCCGTAAATTTTATTTGGCTGGATGTGCAAAATTTAAATTAATTCTATTGTGTTATTTAACAGCTAAAAGATCATTTTCAACGGTACCAACATGTACAACCGCTAGAAACCCACAATCAAACCACGTAATGGCTGTTTACACCACCCCTTTTTTTGTTATTTATTAAACACTTTTAATTTTTGAAAACATTTTTGATACATTTCAAAAACTGAATTCTAGAACTCATTTGTAAATCATTTTCAGAAATGGTTTATAAATGACTTCCGCAATTTTATTTATGAATTATTTTAAAAATTAAATCCTATAAAAAAATGTAGTTCGAAATGTAAAAAGTAATCTTTAACAAACAGTTGATTTGTGTTTACATAAGGCCCAAAAAGGTTTGGCATGAAAGCAGATTGCCAATTTTTTATGGGTTTATGCAAATAGGCAAACAGATACTTTAATCTGGGCCTAGGCATCATTATCCTGGGCCAGCTCCATTATACATACACTGGTGACTGATCTGCTCAAATTTCTTCGCTTTAGTTCACCAAACAAAAAAGAATTCTTCGCTTTGTATTATGTGCTCAATCATTAGCAGCTGAAGCAGTCCAAATTATTTGACCAAACATAGAAGTTAGTCCATACCATAAGTTAGAATCTTCAATCTACCCAAAACAAAAAATAATAAGTTAAATTATTCACCAATTTTCTTCTATTTATTTATTTATTTACACCAAAAGTAGTCTATCACCTGTGTGAGAAGATAAACAATAGGCTAAAAGTGAAGACTTAAGAGACTTGAATTAGAATATGGAATCATCATGTATACAAAGGAACAGGGTGCCACTTGAGTTAAGGATACTGTGCCAGTAGTTCAATCGTTTATTATGCAAAATTTTGCCTCAGATATAGTTTGTTTCCATCCTTTGTCCTGGTCTAAAAGGTGAGGAGTCCTTCATAGTTACATAGTTCACTATATTCTATAATTAATAAGCATCACATACTCCTTTCATAGTCCTAAAATACACAATGATTAGCAGTCCTAGTCCTCCAATGCTTTCAACTATCATCATCAGTAAAATCAGGTTCAAGGGGCTTCCTCAATGAACCAAGAATGTCAAGTTCAGCACCATATCTTAAGCTCCTACCTTTCCTTGGGCTGGCTGTTAGTTTAGCAGCACAAATTCTTAAACTTGAACTCATTAGGGGCTGCAGTGGTGCAGAGAAATGTTCAGTGCCAGTTCCAGGCACATAGGACATCATCACATTCTCCTTTTTCTTAAGATCACTAGTCTCTTTCATTCTCTTATACCTAAACCACGCTGCTTGTATAAAGCATGCAGCCCAAGTCCTCCACTGATGAGAGTGGAACCTAAATGTGTGCCTCAGTTGCTTGCTATGCAACCTGCGGAATTGGGCTGCCACAAACTTCAAGTCCTCAGCAATGAGTGCAAAAGCCTCCACTTCAGTGATGGCTTTCACGGTTCGAGTCGAAGAAGGAAGGACGACGGTTGGACGAGGGTCCAAGGCCCATGGCAATAGCTCTTCTCCACAGAAGTCACCAGAGCCAATTCTGCAGGTGTTGAAGAAACCTGTTCTGCCACCATTGGTGGTGCAAGAATCTAGGCGTCCTCGAACAATGAAGAGCATCTCATTCACAAGGTCACCTTCACGAACTACACAAGTTCCTGGAGTGAAAAGAGAAGGCTTCAGCCTCTCACATATTGCATCTAGCATCCTCTCATCCATTTGATCAAATAGTGGTACCTGCCATGGGCCAATAAGTAGTTCATTCTTACTAGTTTGTTTCCCAAGAAACAGGTTAACAAGGTAAAACTCTTGCATATACTCTGGCTAGGATTTGAACATTGCATATGAAGCAATGATTGTGAAATGTGAAAGCTTAATTTGTTACATGAAGATACACAAATGGCTTTTATATTGCATATCTAACCGGCCCCTCGCCACAAGTGCCCTTTGGGCTTGAAGCATCAACCTTGAGCTGAAATTCAACTTTTTATTAGAAGAATGAGGCAAGGATCAAAATCTAGACAACTTGGGTTTAGAGGCTCACTTGTCATTTATCATGTCTTTAAGCTGACATATTAATGGTTTTTATATTACATCTCTAACATGACTAGCTTATATGAAACTAACAAATTCACAACACAAAACACAGTCAAAGAATGAACTTGCAAAGAAGAAAACAAATATTTACTTGTCGGACTAGATTAAGGCAAAGGTGGCGTTTGATGTCGCGTCTGAGGTCCACAGGAAGGTCTCGGAGAATAGTTTCCTCATCAACTCCTCGAGTGGCAACCCATCTGAATTGGTCGTGACGGCGCACATTTTGCTTTAGGTAATGAGGGAGCTGCCTGTGATGCATCCATCTTTCCGTATCTGTCCTTCTTATTCTCCATTCTTCTAGCCGTGTAGTGGTGGATTGCAGGTAGGTCTATTAATCAGATCATTTATATGAAAAAAGGATGAAAATACAAAATATGAGTATCAGAGTTATGATCGTAGGTGAATGTCACACATATAACATGATGCATTTTTCAGTCCACAATGAATGTGGACAAGCTGGCATGGATCAAGGTCCTAGTTGGTACCTCAATAAACTTAGTAGTTAGTGTAGAAGTTTAAATTGGAGATCATTATAAGCTTAGTAGTTAGTATAGGGATGACCATTCAGTACAAAGAATGACAATAAGTCCTAATCAATGAAAACCTGTCTCACAAGATCAGAATTTTCATATTACGCAACTAAAAAGAAATTTCATATTGAACTCTAAATAATCCTTTTAAGCCAAAAAGAAAAAGTCTCAATAATCGTGATATTAAATAATACTAATATACCCAACAGACTATGAGTTTAGTTTTGCAAACAATTATGAAGTTCTAAAACTTGCAGCACATTAAATGACTGGCAATAGTAGACTTACTTGCATATTTCCTATAAGCAATGCAAAGAGCACCAATCCAAGAATTGCAACAATCACAGCAAAATTTATCTCTGCAACCCGTGTGCTTGTTAAGAGATTCTGTCCTACAGAGCTGCAAATTTGGCTTAGAAATGGTTAGGATATCACAAACAATAGAGTGGACTAAAAATGGGTCAAGGATCAAGAATGAATAGTTGTTTAAGACCCCCAAAAAAAAAATATTTTGCTGAAGAATATGAAGGTCTTGATTATAATAAAACCGAAAAGGAAAATTTGAGTTTGTTTCTATTAAATAAATATATCTTTTATTAAGACATGGTTGATTGGAATCATATAATAATCAGTATATCTCTGATCTTCAGTGAAGTGATGATTATGCTCTGGATCATGTTTCTTGCCATCAAATTAACATAGGTAAATCAAAGATGGACTGAATTTGTTGTTTGATAAATTATTCAACTTTGGCATATAAAGAATTGAGTCACCTTAGATTCCTTAGTCCCCACCAAAGACAGTAACAGTATTTGTTGAAGAATTTGGAGCCCGTAATTTCCAAAGTTAGAGCATCCGCAAAAATGCCAAAATGAAAGAAATCACTGTTCTGATCACATAGGTCTGATAGATTACTTGATCTTAACCAAGCAATTCTATTTGGGTCACCTATGCTTTGACACTCAAGATAATGATACTGGCAGTATGGGTACTGCAATGTACAAGCTTTCTTCCAACATTCATTCTGCCTTTCAATTGATAAAAGATACCAAGAGGAACCTAAAACCTTTTTAAAATAAAAAAACAGTTAATAACCGAATTAGAAGCAACAAATAAGATAAAATAATGAAAATGTTGAAAAATAAGAAAAAGATATCTTGATATGTTCCAAATTTGAAAGCTGTAGTACAAAGTCCATCCATCAAAAGTTCTTATGCAAAGAATTATTTGGAACATTACTTACATGACTAGCCAACATATAGAGCGTCAGATTATATGCTGCCCCAGCCCATGCTTTCTCCATCATTACCCCATTTGCCTTAATGATTTCAGATGATAAGGGATAAATAAGATACAACCTCAAGAGGTACTGGAAAATGGTAACAAGGCGCAAAACATGCCTTGAAGCAATCATTTGAGACCCCTTTAGATTTGGGATTACAGCCCAAATCAATACCTAACATGTATATGAATTACTAAATTGTTATCCTGCGGCAGATGAAAAAACAAAACAGGATGTATACATTTGAGACAACAGTATTTTGAACTGTAATATCAATTTAGTTCACAGCAAATGACCCTGAGAAATGCAGCCAAGGACATCAACAGTATTTAGAATATAATGTATATTATTGTTTTAACATAGCACAGCGGAGAGGCTTTTGAGTGTGAGAAAGTGTAAGTGTTTTTGGACACAAAATGTCCTTGTGAAAAATTATAATCTTAAAAAAACTTACAACGAATCTACTATTCAATGTGTCCAAATATGTTTTGGCATCATTCAACCAAGTAGATTCTTTGTAGTCTTTATCCTTCTCTTTCATCCATTTGGCAGAATGTGAACATTAGAATGGTGTAAATTAACAATGAAAATAAAGGTAAAAGCAATCACACCATTAAGAAGTCTTCTAAATCCCAGATTATCTAGGTACACAAGCATAAAATTGCAAATCAACTGTTAAGTTGACCCTGATTTTTATGTATCAAATTGAGAAAAAGTTTCAATATATAGTGATAGCAATCCGATTTTTATAGAGCTATCAGGAAATCTAGTGTGAAGTTTATATTTATACCTAGAGTTGACTAAGGTCATTTAGAATATTTAAGATGTGCTAATACTGTTCAGTAATTAACCAATCCGATTTGATGATACTAAAGTTCAAATTAGCTAAGTTTTGGACATGTCATCAATTTTCTAAGAACTAATTCATCTCCTTAGTTTCATCATCAACAAGTTTTCAGAACCATTGGGATCAGAAGAAATAACACATTTTTTTTCTATCAGGAACATACCTGTGGAAGTGGTTGAGCAGCCACAAGATCAAGCCAGAAGTCTTTCTGCAGGTACTTTGATGCAATCTTAGAAGAGTCTATAATAAGCTCTCCTCTACCAGAAACACGAGAGGAAGGAGCAATATAAGCGGTTTGAAACCGAAAATAAATCTGAATAATGTAAAATGCATCAACCAGTGACCGAATTATGGTAAGGGACACTTCAAGACCAGTTGACATATCAATGCACTTGTCTTTCTTAGCCACTGGTAAGTAAAAGAATAAGGGATCCACAAATAGTGAAATCAAACAAGCTGCTAAGAATATTTTGTTCCATTTATTTACTCTAGTTCCCCTAGGATCCAATATCAACATTTGTGCGGCATCATAATCCTCAGAAAAGACCCTGGAAAGTTCTCTTCCATCTAAGGACCTCCCTATTGCATCCTTCTCAAACTTCTGTTTGCCACTCATCTCATAAGCCAGCATTGACAAGTGACTCTCTTTGTTTTCCATTAACTTATTTGTGTCCAATTCATCACGAAATCTGGATGCATATAACACCAAAACCAAAATAAAAAAAGGTGATGAAAATGGCCAACTCCGACAAAATTGTAATCACACAAATTGATATAAGTCCTATAACATGAATAATTTAATAGAATCACTAGCATAAGTTGCACTAAATTCAAACTATGTGCAATTTTGCGGCTCAATGTCAAAGAGAAGAACTGGCAAACCTCACAGATCTTGAACTATTAGAAACCATACTTCTCTAATTCAACTTTTCAGTTTCCCTCTTCAAGTAGATACAAGAGAACATATATACAAAGGCGTATTAACCACAAGAAAAGATTTAAGAGCTCAACCACAAAATAATGAAGCAAGTTTCCGTACAATCTTTTCCCAGAAATCATGTGAAAGAAAAGTAGCACACTGTTCATAAGCTATAAGTACAGTACTCTTTTCGTGTTTATTCATGAAAGAACAGGCAAAACCTGTGAATTTGACAGTTCTAAAAGCTTGCAAAGGATTCAAAGTCGTTGCCCCTTGGACTTCATGGTCATACATGGACATTATTTTTTTGAGATAAAATGACGAAACTACTGAACAAAAAATATGAAATGAAACACACGAGGTTCTTGTAGAGCCACCAAAACTTCCTTCATCTGCTTCTTCCATTCCATGCAAAATTTTAAGGTTCAGTTTGGAGAAACATATCAATGAAAAGCATCACATTCAAATTCCATTATTTGGAGAAATAATAGAGTTAGAAAGAGAAAGACCATCAGCTAGAAAAAAGGGAGAGAAGAAAATAAATAATTCATAAGGGAAATAGAGAGGAAAATGAAATTTAACCAGAAAATCCTTGCAGTCAATTTTCCTTCAATACTACCTTGGATTCAGTGTTTGACTAGTACAATGAATTTTAATTTTAATCTCCTGATTTGTCCTAATCAATGAATAAAACCAAAACATGGGTTATGGAGTAGTCTCATTCTATAGTGAAACCACTTTGCTTATTGTTCCCTCACTGAATTATATTATGACTTGGACTGTAACTGTATGAGAATGTGTCAACATAAGTAAATGGAAGATTGCCTACTACCCAATATTCAGATAATGCATTGTTTTCTAATGAAGCATTTGAAGTTTTCAAATGCGACTTGGGTTTGTTTAATGCTTTTTTATTCATGTCATGTGTAGAATAGAATCCTCCTCCATGGGGAGAAACAGAGAGAAGGGACATCAAAGTTTTCAATTGCATTGCATTGTAATTTTTCTTTTCTTTTATGTCATAAATTTTGATGACAGTGAGAACCTTAACCAACATCACCGCAGAGACATCAAGCTCAAAGCCAAGTCATCTCAACTGCATGTGCTGTCTGGCGACAGCTATGCATTAATATTGAGAAAGAGTGTAGAATTCAGCTAAGAAACATGATTATGTAATTTGAAAAGGTTCATTTTTTTTTTGTTATTCTTGTTGAAGGAGTACTGACAATACATTTTTCTTAACTTTTAAAACAATTTTATGATTTCTATTACTAATTTTCATTCACTTTTCAACCATGTTTTGCCTCTTTCATTTACCAGAGGTTTTTGTTTTTTAGTTATGTACTAAAAGTTCATGTGGTAAAATATGTTACTTTCCACACCCCCCCCCCCCCCACACACACACACACGGGGTCTGTAAGGTGTTTATGTACGTCCGTTAAGAAATTAACCTTTCATGAAATCATTTCATTGGCTGAAATCGGTTTTGCTTTAGATTTGGATATGGGTGTCTTTATTATAATTTTCTGAACCGTATGTTGTCGTTAATTATTGTAAAAAATGCTGATGGATACGAAATTCTTGAAAACTTAAGTAAAATCAAGAAGTTGCACTTTTTTAAAAAAGATTTTGCTAACTAGCTTTTTTCAAGAGTATTAGTTAAGAAATTAATAATATTTTTTAAAAAAAGTATGTTAAAATATATTAAAGATCAAAATAATAGTACATTAAAAAAAATTTAAATTTTAAATTTCTTAACAACTAATTAGCATTTATTTTAAAACAATAATGATGTATGATTAATGAGTCACGTTATTTTAAGCTTGACTTTCAACTCAATCAATCTTTGTCCCAAATGTATATAAGCTGAGGAGGGGCAAGCAGCATAACCGTGACTTGTGAGACAAAATCAAGGGTGAATATATAGATGGTGCATATTGCAAAATGCAAAGGTGATAGCATTAAAGGCAAAGCAGGTTTGCACCATATAGCTCAACTACCTAAACCAAACATGCAAATGGGATACGGCAGAATGATGAATAGCAGTTGTTGCTGTTTAAAATAAATGCAGAAATTATAATGTTTATCAATTATTTCCACTAAAGTTTTTTTAATAACATTAAAATACCACTTTATACCTATATTTTCCTTTTCTAATTTTTTAAGGAAGAAATATGGGAAGTTATTAATTAATGTTGGTGCACATTTCCAACATTCAATATTATTTTAAAGGATAATGTCAAATCAAATTTGGCATTTCTTTACAGTATTTAGATTTTTGTTCAAGAAAACCTAATTATTGTTTAAACAAAAACCAATGTCTTATAACTTTGACAAGTGTTATCCTGTACTTTAAGAATATAAGTTAAATAATTTGAAAAAATTATAAAATCATTAACAAATTTCTAACATAAATTTAATAATATTCTATTTATTAATCCTTTAACAATACTAATAAAACAATCATTGAAAACGTATACCTTACATTCCGTATAATGTGTCATTATTTAAAATTAAAACAATAAAATGTCAACTATTAATTTTATATTTAACCGCTATAAATCCATACCAACTATTCCTCCCCACTTAACCATTTCGTCCATTTTAAAAGTGAATACGTGGCATGTTAACTATATTATACGTTTAGTATACTTTAAAAACAGTATAAAACAAACCACAAATTAATTTACAAACCAATGCCTGTAATTCCATAGAAACGGTTGAAACCAACAAAATAGACGGTCCAACTATGTCCACACACCAGACACTACGTAGATGACTAATTGATTCAGCAAAGCTATGCTGTCTCTGCCTCAACGAAAAACAAGCTGAAAAGTGTTGACACCCACATGCACAATTAGCAGGTTTTTCTTTTTTTTTCTAAATGTGAATATCAACTCTAAGAATTAATTTTACATAATTAAAAATATATTTATTATACTTTTATATTTTCAATGTAACAAAAGATACACTTTTTTTTAGGTAAAAGGGAGTCCCAAGTACGAGAACCATATTGCAATTACTTATCTTTATAGTCAATTAGATACCCTTCCTCTACAATTAAGCAGCCACAGTAATCAAGAAAGAATTTTAGGCCATTTACCTTGAGTCCTCAACATGATCTCTTCCAACCAAACGAGTGAACCGTAAACAAAATCTGTGGTTGATAATTTTCCAGGCTCATTTGTAATTGTAAAATTCTACCACAACATTGTTGGGAAGTTGGAATAGGGTAACCAATAAATATGATTCATCTACTTCTACAGTGAAATACTACAAATCAGTTTCAAATGACAACCATCAAATTTGGAGCATACATTTAAACTTCAAGAGACACTGATCAACTCTTCTCTATAAAGAAGCTTGTCAAATATTGCTGCTATGTGTAGATGTAGTCTCTGCATGTAGTAGTGTATTTTCCCAAGCTGTTGAAAAACATCAATGACTTGCAGTTGTATAGCTCCTAAGTACCTGTTAAGGTCAGATAATACCAGAGACTTGGAACAATCAGCACAACTCCAAGATGTTATTGCATTAGAAAACACAACATAATCAAATAGGGTACAGAATAGTACCAAAGTCCTCTATCGATCAGGTATAGACGAAAGTTTTAATCCTCAAAACCGCTTGGGCTTAGAATCTGCTAACGAGACTCGTATAGCTCTGCCATTCAAGTCCTGCAACCAATATTAAATAGTCAGTTTTGGGTGGTTAAACATAAAACTGAAGATGCACACACTCACACTTATTAAAATGTAACCATACAAATTTGGGAATTCCAACTCATTGAATTGCAGCTTGTGTTCTCATTATTTGACTTCCAAAATGTAGATTTTCAAACACTAATGAATGCATCTAGCAATATCAAACTTGAATAAAACAATAATTTGATGAAATGCTTCTTATTAAAATTATTTTCATACCCATCTGACTCGGACATGTGAGTTTTGAAAAAGAAAAAGCACTACCTCATTAACATGTCTTCTAGAATATACTGAAACATGGAAGAAAAAACAAAACAACAAAATTCTGAATGCAACCACTTCGAAGAGGGGAAGGATTAGCGTGCTTACAACACCATCTAAGGACTGAATTGCACTGTTGACCTCTTCAGGGCTACTGTAAGTCACAAATCCAAAGCCTCTAGATCTTCCACTTTCTCTGTCATAGATTACCCTTGCTTCCAAGACCTTTCCTTTTCCGCGAAACAATGTCTCAAGTGTTAAATTGTCAACACCCCAATCAAGATTACCTACATGAACACGGTTGCTTTCATCTGAAGGACCACCACCACCTCTGGAAGGACCTCTGAAACGAGGGGAATTCTCATTCCGAGCAGGAGGTGGTCCAGAATTTACTCTCAAAGCCCTTCCCTCCATTTCCTACGAATTTCAAAAGATTCTTTCCTTAGATGTCATAAAAACAAAATGGTCAAAGTCATACTTAACAGACAACTACAAATATGCTCACATTTCACATCATATAAACTCAATCTCTGACAACCAACACTATATAATAATGCTGTAAACCAACACTCTTTGTGTCCACCAAAATTCATTTGTATAAATTACATCCTTTTAAATTTTAATCGCCTAAATAAATTCTGCAATGAATAAAACTAATTTTGAAATATGCGAAAACTTTTAGATTTCAAGGTAAATAGAATTAGGAGAATAAACCATCTTTATCATGAACCAAATTATGATAAACTCACATAACCATTGAACTGATGAGCAGCTGCTTCAACTTCCTCAGGAGAAGACATGGTCACAAAACCAAACCCTCTGCTTCTCCCAGTCGTTTTATCATAAATCACCTGCCAAAAACAAAAATAAGTCACATCCCATCTTCATTCATCCCAAAGGGTACCCAATTAAACCCTCAAAAACTAAACTAAGTAAAAGAAAAAGCACATTACCTCAACCATCTCCACATTCCCAGCGTTTTCGAAGAGCTCGGCTAGTTGAGCACTGTCAACGCTGAAAGGGAGATTACCCACGAAGAGTTTAAGGTCAGGGGCGAAGCTAGGGCTATCTCCATCGCTGAGGACATCCTCTTCCTGGTCGAACTCCGAGGAAACAGCCACACGAGGAACAAAACGAGACGAGAACGACAACATTGGTGGAACAAAAACAGTGGAAATGGAGATGGGTCTGGAGTTAGGTGTTAGGGAAAGTGAAGAAGAGAAACATTGGGGAGAACACAGAGGTTGTCGGGTTCGGAGAGTGAGAGTGGGAAGTGCAAGAGAAGCCGCAGAGGTAGACATGGTTATGGTGGTTAACGGATAAGGTTTGAGAGCAAGAGCAAGCAAAAATAGGGTTTATTGCGCTATATAGGAAGAGGAAGACTCAGAGTGAGTGTGCATTGTGATATTTATGTATGAAAGAAAGGAAGGGTGAGAATCAGATAAGGTATGGTGGTGGGGTACAAAATACTTATCTATTTACTAATTTAACCTTCCTACATCAGATATTTTTCAGTTCTTCCTTTTTATGTGCAAAGATATTTTTGTTCCCAAATGGATAGTTGCACGCCTTATGGCCCAAGTCCAAGTCATTGATCCAAGTGGAAGTGGGTATTGGGTATTGGGCATTGCGCACTGGGCAAGTGTGTTATTCCTTTTTGTTTGTTTCTTCCTTGTAGGACTAAAAATAGAAGCTGGATTTCTACCTTCTGGTTTGCAAGTGACGAAATGAGACTTTGGCTAATGACCCCAAAAAAATTGAAATAAGACTTTGGTTCAACAATTATATTTGCATGTAGTTTTGCCCCCATATTCACTGTTGTCCTAAAAACTGATTAGATGTTAACTTCACCGCAAGTTGTCATGTTCTTCGATTTTTGTTATGAGGATCATTAGGATTTGTGTTATTGACCTGTTTGGTGTGTAGTGTGTGTTCTTTGGTCTCACGCGGGGTAAGCTAAATCTATGGAACTACTTGCAATTGCATTCCCAACTTGTCATGAATCTCTTCTTTATACAGTTTTTTACGTCACCAATTCCTAATTTTAGACATCCTATATATTATTAATTTTACAGCCACAGAATTTTTTTATATGAAGTTCAGTTATATTAAAAAAATAAAGTATTATATATTGATATTTTACAGGCATAGACGGAGGGTTATAATTGAAAATAGAGGAAAGAAAAGTGATAAAACTTAAAGCATCTATCAAGATAATAACTTCAGAATGCAAATTAAATATTAAATCATAAATAAGCTCAATAATTGTACCTTCACATTCTTAAAAATATTTATCATCTCAATGAAGGAAGATTCCGACCAATATTATTTTACGTTCTATAAGATAAGATGTGCATGTGAAGAATTGCGTAGTAATCCTTCAAAATCATTTTTTAATCATCATATATCATTATATTGTAACCGCAAGTGCTTCAATCATTAAGTTGACTTTTAAAATGCCACTATCTATGCGTATAACCCGTATAGATATATTAAATTTAAAAACATTTTTATCTTTATAAATATTATTAAATTTATTTTTTTATTTTTTAAAATAATTTTTATTATTATTTAGTGGCAACATGATATATACTTATGTCGTGTATTAAGGATTATTTCAAAGTAACGTACACGAAAATCAACACAATGTTTTAGAAAATGGAAATTAAATTCACCAAGTTAAAAAAAAAAAAAGATATGTTATCCTATATATTATCAGTGAGAGTGGGAAGAAACTAATGAACAAACCAACCATAGACATGAAGCTGAAGAACTTGAGATTCATGGTTCTTGACTATAAGCTTGAACTCATTCCACTCGGGGTTTGGGTTCTTCAATTCATCTGTATGAAAGTCTGCTTTATTTAACAAAAGGGTCAGAGACTAGAAGTTCCTAATAAGTCTACTTATAAGATTTTGAGTGCCCACACAATCTTCGAATATAATATGGCAACAGGTCTTTCTGTAGCCCTCTGTAGGTATATAAATAAATTTAGAAGATTAAGCACTCTCCTTTTTTGGTCTTGAGACACAGAAATTTTTTTCCCTTACTCTGCAATAAAGTCCAAATGAAAGGGGAAAAAAGGGAGAACTCTAGTGGAAATACCTAATCACCACCCCACATGTATCCTATGTTACTAACTTTGGCTATTTTTTAAAACTACATTTGGACCATCAAGCATATTGGTAGTTCAAAAGATTTAGGCAATATGTACAAACTTGTGTTTTTATAATTTAATTTTGATATTATTTATTTATTCTTTCTCGTCATATCATTTATTACATATTTTCTTATCCCTCTGCTTCCCATAAATATATAGATGATGTATACAATGAAAGGAGATATAAAATTATCTTTATCAACTAATACCTACAAGTGTCATGTTCTGACCCCTGTGCTTACCCATCGAATCTAAAAAAAAAAGTGTATTATTGCTAAGTATAAATGAAAATTAGTTTTTGAACAATGTTTTTTGACAATGAAAAGTTGTTCACTCCTTTACTTTCTACAAATATATTTTTAATGTTTATATATAGAAAATAATAAAATAAAAAGTTATATAAAATAGATTACACAATGTTAAATATTAGTTATTCAAATAACAAAATTATATATATATATATATAATTAACAAAATCTCTTATTGTAAATTCGAGGCAAGAAGGGCTACCCCGGTTAGTGATGCTGGAGTATAATGTAACTGCTACGTCATCTAAATTTAAGATAAGTATGAAAAACGTAGAGAGAGATGGTGACATCACTTTAATCCTATGTCTTACCAGAAACTCAGCACAGACTAATGAGTTTTAGAAAATGTTTATCGGAAATCATATAGTATACAACATATATGACATTATTTTATAATCTAGCTACTGTGATGACAGCAAACTGGAATCGTTTGATTTTATGGTTGGATATTAGTTGACTTGTTCACAAACCTTCCTCTAGTCTACAAAGATACCTACATAGCCCATAGTGAACCCGTGACAGAGACAAGGGAAAGCACCTGAACATGTCATTATAAGTGCATGTTTTTCCGGCGTCGACAAGTAGTTAATATGCATTTTTTTAAAAAGCAATAAAAATAGCTTATGGGTGCAAAATAACACCAAAACACACACTAAAGTAAAAGTACGAATACTCTTTTTAATATATTTTTTAAAACAAAAAATATTATATTTAGAGTTAAAAAAACTAAAACCTACATCATTTTTCTATTTTTAGAAATAATTAAAATTATTAAAAAGTATGTTAAAAAAACATATTTTCATTGTCCACTCGCATGAACTTTACCCAAAGTCAACACGAGGCTGCATTCGAATGCATGAGGATTATAACCGTGCTAACTCACCCATAAACCAAAGCTACTTAGATATATTAGCCCTGTAAAGTTTCCCACTATTTACCTTCTCTAACTGTGACATAATTATACACACTGACTATGTGAGAAAACGGAGTTGCTCAAATCTCAATCACGTTAAAACTCCAATAGAGTAGAGTAGCAGTGATTAATTTCAAGGTGGCCAAACTTCGTTTGAGAACCTTAACAAAACTCAAAATGTGTTGGAAACAACCATAAAAATTAGTAAGTTTTAAATAATTAGGTAGTAGCCAAGTCTTTTAATTATTGGAAGTTTAAGTGTGTAAATCATAAGTTGTGTTTTGATTAATGTGATTAAGAAATTCTTAATCGTAGTTTGAAGTGTTAGTTGTTTTGTTTTTGAGTATGTATTTTTACGGTCATGCTTTGGAAACTTTTCTAAATCTAGCAAATTGTGTGCACCTGCTCACATATTAGTAGTTTTATTCTCTATTTTTCAAAAACATAGTTTATCAATTGTACGTGGTCTATTTTACGTTATATTTAATTCATTATCTAATATTCTAATTTTTAGTAGATTTAAGGTTTTCAAAAAGGTCTCAATAATTTAAATTCTAAATAGAACTCTATAAATATTACATATACTTATTCGTTTTAGGTCTATATATATATATATATGATATGAACATACATATTTTAGCATATTTAGACTGTTTAGATATTTTTTATTTGATATAAAAGCTCTCAAAATGTCTTTGTCTTGCTTGTTTCTTTCTATTGTAGAGTTGAAATTTATTTTTTTAAGAATATGAGTCTTATGTGTTTGGACCCTGTTGATTCAAACTAAAGATAAAAACGTGATCGATGGACATTTATTTTTTATGCTTAAAAGTCATTGTTATTCTTCGTCTAATATGTGTTAGAAAATTCAAGTCTGCAAATCGCAAATAAGTCAAACTAACCCAGCTTAAAATTAAAAACGATTAAAACACGTTATTCCATCATTTTTCTCCTTTTCCGTTATTGATGCATTTGAGCATACTATGAGTGGTTAGTTGTGTGATTCACACCCTTACTTAATTAATTCTATCCTGCAACATAACCACTACGTTATGTCATACAATATGTTTTATTTATGCATGAGAATTTACATAATCTATTTAGCAAGTGTTTAGATTTTTAAAGAAAGTTAATGTTTAATAATAAATATAATTTTAATAAATTAGAGAGTAATCAAAGTAACTTTAATTGATTAGAATTATATATAATTTTAAGGTTATATTAAAAACATTAGTTATAAATAATTATATGTAATGTGGTGAAATTTATCAATAGAAATTTTATTACATTTATATAATTAATTATGATAAAATATTAAATTATATTATTTTACTCACAAGAATTAAGAAAATGAACATAATTTAATAATTTGATAGTACATGTAAAATAGTTACACGTTCCAATTATATATTGTTGCTTCCATTTTGCTTCATTGACAAACATCCCCTCAAGAATTTTTATTTTTGGTACTTAATTAAGAGTTAGTTACTTACAGTTTTTGTTTTGTTGTTTAAAGTAAAAGAATTAATGTGTTTACAAAAAATTGACGAAAATTATTAATATATACATACTTTTATGAAGTAATTTAAACGAAATTAAAGTGTCTTTTTTTTTTAGAAATTAATTTTCGAAAATTTCAACGGAATCACAGACAGCTGATTCTTAATCTTGAAAAAAAAAATGCCCCAACTTCCTAAATATTCAGCCTATTTGTTATTTTGGTGCTTATGTCAAGTGGAAAAATACGTTTTTATAACTTTTTAGATACATTTTATTTTCATTACAAGCATCCTTTTGGATTTTTTTCAGAAATTTTTTAATCATATTTATTTTCTCTTTCACTTAAATATTTTAAAAGAAGAAATAATCAATCTTTATATCAAATTTGTGAATATGAATTTTTAAACAAAAATATTTTTAATTTAATTTTAGTTAATATAATAAATTATTTTCTATTTTTAAAATTTATAAAATTCATTCAATATTAAAGTAGTCATATAATATATTTTATTATTTTATTTTAAAAAATT